TCTTCTTCTTCTTCTTCTTCTCAATACTTTATTTGTCTCAAATGTTAGTTCTAATTTTCATCCAATCATACAGAGAGCGCTTTTACAGTCGTAGTGATATAAAGCTGCGTAAACCATCGTTTCTTCAACTCCATTTCGGGCAGTCCTATATTCTCCTTCAGTAAGCTCTCATCACGCAGCGTGATGAGGGTTTTATAGCGAAGCAGAGATAGGAAGTATTTTCCGCATTCTAAGGCGTCGAGGATTTTATCAACTGTGTGATTGGTTCGTAAGTCCTGGGGCATGCAATTGTAACCAAAACAGCCGTAAACCAGGCGACAAAAAGAAAACGCTGTTTTTTATGAGTATGCCAATATCTTGAGTGAATCCGCTCCCATGGAAACTAAGTATAAAACAGAGTGTTTCCGCAGCACAAAGTCCTTAAAAGTCGTCCGATAATACAATTAATTACGTGTTACTTGAAGATTGTCAGTAGAAATAATACTTGAATATGAATTTTTGTCAAAACAGGACACGGCGAACCCGTATAGACGGGCCGTCTATAACATACCAAATTGCATATTCCTAGATAGTTTTACAATATAAACAGTAAAGCGAACTAATATCACTTTCAGTCAGTTCAGTTGAACTGCAGATGATGGATCACTTGCGAAAAATATAAATTGCACCGCCAATAATGATACGCGGCTTCACGAAATTAGTAGAAAAATGATCAATCTGTCTACTAAACTTTCCCTATTTCGGTTTAACATCATCGTTTTGTGGTGAGAAATTTTTATATTTTCACAATTATGCTAGCACCACCACTTAAATGTGGTCCAACTTCGCTTCATACGTAATCCCGACTCATGAAATATAAAAAATTGATTCGCTACTTCGTGTTGTTATTACCCTGGTTTGGCAATTATCAGGCCCAACAATATTAACGCAAACAAATTCCAAGCATAAACTAAAGTATTTAATAAAAACTTCATAACTGAGATCCTTGAGATAGTTCCTATTTACATAGCAGTTGATGGCAAAACTGACTTATAGGGCTGCCTAAATACATATTCCCCCCGCCCAACTGTTTTACGGAATTGGTGTCTACACATTTAGTTTTTGGTTAATGAATGCAAATGAATATTTAATTGTGTTGAATTTGACCAAAGAATATTAAATAAAAGCCACTTATTATTGTTTTAATGAGCTAAATATAAGCAACTCCATTGACATAAGCTCATTTTGCTCAGGCAATTGATGCCTATAGGAAGAAATTCATCTTTATTAGCAGAATTTAACGTAAAAAGGTAAGTCAGGCTACTGAAAATATAAAAGTCATTGATTATTATAAGTCAAAGGCAAAAAGGACCTTTAAAGACAGTCCTACCCAGTTTGCGCTTTAGGGTGTATCACAATTCTTTAAATACGGTTTAGTCCATCAGTATTCGGCAGCTCGAACCTCTAGTCTTCCTGGGTCGACTCTAGGCGTACTACCCTCTCTGACACGGCAGCACAGCTGGATTGTGGTACTTAATAATTAATCAGACAGTATATTTACTACTGGGCACTGCATCTCTACTGAACGAATGAATACACAAACATACATACCGCATTCGCCTCCTTCAAGGATTCCTTTAATTTTGTATTCACGGTTCGCTCCCTAGTCCGTTCTTCGGTGAGGGCGATGCACCTTTGTCGGAAAACCTGCAGTTCCCTGTCAGTTTCCAGCAGCTTGTCATTTAATTGATTCACCTTATCTTGGTCACCACCTGAGCTCCGATCCTGTTCGCCCCGACTTTCATAAGGCGGAAAAAGAAAAATGACAAGGTTCTTTAATCAAGAGGATTTTGTCGATTTTCTAATTTGAGACACGCACTTCGATATTCTGCATGCAAGTTGGGTTTTTCATAAACAATATCCATCTTAAAATAAGGGGAAAAATCAATATTACACTCTGTCGTACGTGTATCTGTTTACGTCTGCAGAAAAATGTAAGGACTTTCATGAAACTGGGCTTTATTAAAATCTGTAAACGTTTATATTATATCCACCGTTTGCGTTCATAGCGCAAACCGCAACTTCTAATCTGACGTTTCATAGATGCCTGCATTCTTCGTCTCATGCTCTACTGCTCTCCGGTTATTTTTCCAGCTTGACTTAAAAAGACCTGGTCATTTTCAAACGAATCCTCCGAATGCTCTCTTCAGCTGCCGGTGTTTCGTATGTTTTTTTAGCTGACATTATAGTACAGCGCCACTTTAAAACGGCCAAGCAATTCGCTGATCGCATCCTTAATGAGGTCGCTCACTCCCTCCATTCCAAACTACTGGCTTCGAAGTCTTCCTGTACTAGGCGCCGAAGCTTCCGTCATATGTCTTGCCGCACACCGGCATATCAGCACTCCATACTACCATTCCTAGCACGCTACCTCACGTGTGAAGAAACGGAAATTGAGAGTTGAAAGCCGACCCACCTCCATAACAGATGTGGATATCGTGCAAACCTTTAACTTTGTATATTCTATGACCTTTTAATATGACCCCTTGCCTTACCTTATCCCTTGCTCTCCATTAATGGAGCCATTTTTGCTGAAATTTTTCGATATTACCTCCAAAATAAAGTTTTCTCTTTTACTTCTACAGATACCACCCTTTTGACATTTTGAACACATATCACTGCTTATTGCGAACGCTAAGTCAACTTCAACTAATACCTACCCTACCCGCATATAATTCCCCAAGCCCTTTTTCCTGAGGCGGATCTGGTTGTCAACCAAAGGGAAAATATGCCAATATTTTGTTAACATTACTGGTAGATGACTATTTTTCTCCCAGATCATAACAAGAACGCCCCCAGCATGCTGTAATACGGGACTGGGTGAAATTAAGGCTATACAGTGTGGGCAATTACAGGAAAAAGCAAATGTAAATAGAAAAGCAAAGTTTAAAAACGTAGAAAAAAACAGGAATAATTACTTGAATATTGTATCGCTTAACAACAAAAAAGAGCGCCATAATTAAAATTTGCAACTATGCAAAAATTAGGAACTACGCAAACTTAAAAAAATCAAATTATAATTTAACTAAAACACCAAAAAAATGCTTTAATCTTTTCAGTAGCCCGACTCTCTAACGATTTTCTCTTTTTCGCTGGCGACAAACTAACAACCTAACTAAACTAATTAAGCAAAGGTTATCCACAACAAGCTAAACTAAGTAAACTAAAAGGAAATCTAGAAATAAAATAAAACTAATAAACATCAGTAATAAACTAAAATCAAAACTAAAACTGAACATAAAAATAAATAAACTATAAATAAATAAGAAATGTAATTAATTAAATTTATTTTTTTCTTTACGGCGTGCTTTTTTCTGCAATAGTATTAAATTATTTAACAAATTTCCGGGAGGTAACCTAGACATCTACCCTGTCTAGACATCCTGTCCAAATGCTCCGAAGCACAGATAACACCTTCGATTCCAAGTGCCGGCAGCGTGACACTGCAGAGTCTTCGAGAGGTGAGACGCGTCTACTCGCCGATTAGGAAAATACTGAACGTATTCATCTGCTTAGCTCTTAATGACTGCCCCTGTGCCAGTGTCTAAAAGGCCACTGGTGTATTTCCCAGACCTGCGGTTGGCCGGGTTGGCGTATGCAGGAGCCTTCGTTCAGCAGTCCTGGTTCGTGAACCTTGTCGGCTATCAGGCACGATGTCCCAGATTATGATGATGAAAGCCGCGAGAGCAAGCGCAAGAGCAAAGTTAACAAGTAAATGCGGTCATTGGCATATGCAACATGAGTGAATACCATGCCACAGTCAGGCAAGTTAAGCACGACAGAACCGACTCTCTGACATCAGTCACGTTTGTACCAGAACTGCCCGGATAACTGTAGTACTGCTTCCTCCAAACAGCGTTACTTTCAATTTATTTAAAAGCTCCGTTAACTTTTGCGCTCGGAAGTAGACGGACGGACGCTAATGCTGTTTTCTCGGACAGAACCTCAGAAGAGGTGGGCGAGAGGTATACAGTCACACCTGGATGAGGCACCCTACCAACTGCGCCTTGCACTGGCATAAAAAGGTATCTGCCGCGTTAAGAGAACGTTTATAATTAATTTGACATAATTCTACCCGGTTGAAGGGGCTTGGCCTGTCTGAAACAGTACTGTCAACGCAAACCCTGCACCGTCTCGGCGAGTCTGTCAATATTATAACCTAGATACCTTTGTTCAGAATTCTATCTAACGCGCCCAGCTCAGCTCAGGCAACCGATCAGCTAGGCGGTGAGGGAGGGAGTGAGTGAGATCGACCCTCAGCGCATTTTTTTTCAATAAAAATCATCCGATGCGCTTGAAGTTATCACGCTGCGCTAGAAACCGTGACTTGGAGGGTTGCCAACTGACGAGATAAGTTGGACACCGCAGTCGGCCCAGTGTGTATCTTGTTGTTTGGAGGGGTTAACTGCGGGCCGAGAGTCAGACTCAATGGCTCCTTCTTACTGTGGCCTTTATGGCGCTCCCATGCGGGAGCCTAAGCAGCAAAGCGGTGTTGTTGTTGCGCGTGTGGGAGTGTGTTTCGCGCCAGCCGCCTTCGCCCTCTCCCATCTCCGGTTTTCTCCACTTTTGTCTTGACATCTGGTTCAGGCGTGGGATTAGTCAGAGAATGGGGTAGATCCAACGAGTCCACTTTCACTATAATTTAGCTGTATTCACCACGTTTATCGTCAGCTTGCTGATGAATATCGCCGAGAGCGACGGTCGAACTGTCGATC